GACTACAGGCATGTGCCACCACGCCCGGCTAATTTTTTCTATATATTTTTAGTTGTCCAGATAATTTCTTTCTATTTTTTTTAGTAGAGATGGGGTCTTGCTCTTGCTCAGGCTCATCTCGAACTACTGAGCTCAAACAATCCGCCCGCCTCGGCCTCCCAGAGTGCTAGGATTACAGGCATTAGCCACTGCGCCTGGCCTTAATTTTTTTTTGAGATAGGGTCTCACTATGTTGCCCAGGCTGGTCTTGAACTCCTGGGCTCAAGCGATCCTCTTGCCTCAGCCTCCTGCATAGCTGTGACTACAGGCACGCGCCACCATGCCTGGCTAGCTCACTGCTTTTTAAATAAACTTTTAATTTTGGAATCATTTTAGATTTATAGAAAAGTTGCAAAAATAGAACAGAGAGTTCCCATATGCCCCGCACTCGGTTTCCTGTGTTGTTGACATCGTGTGATACCGTGATGTACTTGTCAGAACTAAGAAACTACCCCGATAGGTGCTGTTAGTGCGAGACACCAGACTCGATTTGGGTTTCACGGGTTTTTCCAGTTGTGTCCTCTGCCAGGCCCCATCCGGGGACCGCGTTGCACTGGTCCTTACTCTGCCTCTTAATCTTCCCTTATTCGTGACCTTGACAGTGTTGAGTAGCACCAGCCAGGTATCTTGTAGAGCTTTCCCCAATTTAGGTTTGTCTGATGCTTTTCTTAAGATTGTCCACGGTTATGGGTTTTTGGCATGAATACCCCAGGTGAAGGGCCCTTTTCATCACATCCCGTGGGAACGTGCTAGCCATGTGGTTTCAGGCTGATGTGAGCCTTCAGCACTTGGTTGGGACAATGGCTGCCAGGTTTCTCCCCTGTACGGGTGCTATTCCCTTTCTGTGCTGCAAGCAGGAAGTGAGTCACTAAGTCTAGACCACCTTGGGGGTGAGGGGTCTGCAAAAATGGCAGTTTCATACAGTTCAACCTAATAACCTAGTATTTTGACTTCCTACTACTTGTCTGGCTGATTGTTGTGTGACATTGCGTCGCCTCATTTTGTTTCGTTGTGAATTGTGACTTTGACCTGTCCCTCATCTGACCCCTGGCTCAGGGATTAGCCTCTGAGCTCAGCCACTGCTGCCGGCTTCTCTTGCCCAGATGGCATTTTGGGGCCTGGGTGAGAAAGAGGGCCTCAGGGTATGGGGTCATTCTTTGCTGTGGTCACTGCCCCCAGCACCGGGCCAGCCTGGAGCTGCCAGCCGGTGGGCAAGGCCTCAGGGACTGCCTGAGCTGTATCTGCTTTGCTGACATCCTTGGCAGAGTCTCGTGCCCATTAGTGAACTGGCCTCAGGTGTGTCACCTTGCAGGCCCCGTGGCCACTAGACTAGCTCTCCAGGTGTAGCCACAGGCCAGCTATTGAACTCTTTGAGCCTCAATTTCCTCACCTGTAAGATGGGGATTATTAAACCTTGCAGACTTTGGTGATAGAATGGTGGGGACTTATCCTGAGGCCATCAATGCTATTAGGGATGGGGCATCTCCCTGAACTCCTCCAGGCCCCTCCAAGCTGTCCTTAGCTGCCATTGTGTTACCTTTAGGTGAGTGAGAAGCTGCCCAGAACAGGGTCCTGGGGGTCTAGATCCCAGGCTCAGCTCAACCTGTGACTTGCCCCAAGACCCTAGCTGAGTACCTCCCCTGCTTGGGGCCTCAGTCTCCCTATCTGTGCCAAGAGGTGGTTGGTACTGCTACTCTGGGAGGCTAAGTGCCTGAGAACTGTGGTGTCTGCAGTGGTGAGTCTGTGTCCCCTCATCCTTCTGTGGGGCTTGGCCCTGCCCTGCCTGTTCCAGGCACTGGAGTCATGGACCTATTGGGATGAACGGGATTGTGAGGCTTCCAGTCTGTCTAGTGTGCAGGGACCTTGGCAGATCCCTGTTCCTCTCTGGGCCTCCATGAGGGGCACAGTGAGCTGAGTTTCTAGTCCCCTCTGCCCGCTCCCCTTTTATTTTAGAGACAGGGTCTCCCTCTGTCACCAGGCTGGAGTGCAGTGACACGATCACAGCTCACTGCAGCCTCGAACTCCTGGGCTCCAGTGATCCTCTTGCCTCAGCCTCCCAAATAGACTGGGACTACAGGCTCTAGGCCCCTTTTGATTCTGTGGCCCAGAATGGGAAAGACAGACTGAGCTGGGCACAGAGATACCCTAGTGACAGAACCACTAAGGGACCCTGCCCTAGTGGAGCTCCTGGTCCAAGAGAGGAGACATAATCCTCAGGTGGTCACGCTGCTGAGTGTGAGATTGCAGTTTGGATGAGTTTGTGCTAGCATAGAGAGGTTGGTGCGGCTGAGACCTAATCTGGGGGATAAGTGATCCTTCCCGAGACCTGAAGGGCAAGCAGCTGTGGACTAGATGAAAGGGGAGAGGACATTCCGGGCAGGAAACAGTGAAGAGCCTACGGTGGAGCGAGGAGGAGAAGGGAGAGGGTGCCGCACACGCGGGCAGGGACCAGGTGCAAGGCTGCAGAGCCCCAGGGAGTTTGAGCTTCACCCTAAGAACATGGGAAGCCCTGGGAGAATTTTAAGCCGGGAAGTAACATGATCAGATTTGTGTTTTGAAAAGCTCCCTCTGGCTGCCAAGGAGAATGGGGTGGGGGCAGGTTTGAGAGCAGGGACTTGGCCCAGGAACAAGGCTTTGCTGTTGTTTAGGAGATGACAGTGGCTTTGTCCAGGGTGGTGGCTGTGGGGAAGGATCGAAAGGGTGGATTTGAGAGAGTTTAGAAGGTAGAATAGACAGACTTTATGGCTTGATGTATGTGGCCTGGGCACCTGGATGGTAGAGACATGGGTGCCTGGGGGAGGAGCAGGTTCAACCAGGGGAAGGTGAAGTGTTTGCTGTGTGCCTGGCTGGCACTGAAGAGCGTATGGGCACCCGGGAGGCATTTGGGGGCCAGAGCTTGGGCTGGAGGTGTAGACTATGAGAGGGGTGGGAATCTGGGCAGCTTCTGAGGGGCTGCAAGATCTTGCAGCGTCAAGTATGGGCCCTTAGGAGCGGGTCCCTGGGCAGGGCCTCCCCAGTGGTTGATCCAAGGCCAGGCTGGGATCTTGATGAGAGGTGCCCTGTAGGGGTGTTGCTGTTCTCCCATCATCTGCCTAGACCCACTGGGGCCCTGGGTTCAGGGGGAGGTGCCCCATAGCTCCTCACACTCTCTTTCTCCCCCAGATCCTGCTCATCTCCGATTACTTCTATGCCTTCCTGCGGCGGGAATACTACCTCACACACGGGCTCTACCTGACTGCCAAGGACGGCACAGAGGCCATGCTCGTGCTCAAGTAGGCCCGGTGGGCACAGGGCTGCACGGACCTCAGGAGGTGGAAGGGCCAGTAGCTGGGCCACGCCTTCTATCCAGAGTTGCCAGCAGGCGAGTCCTTGGGAAGAAAAGGTTCTAGTCCAGGCTCATGAATCTCTGGTACCAAAGGGGACCATGGCTGACAGCAAGGCCTGTGGGAGTAGCTGAGAGCAACCCACTTGGACCCCCACTTTGTGGCTCTGCACACCAAGGTGCCCCCTCCCAGGCAGGAAGGGGGAAGAAGCAGGTGAGCAGGGCTTATTAGGTTGTGGCTACTTAATAAATGTGTTTTGTTATGAAGAAGTCTGCCCTGGGACCACATCCACACTGCACTCCTGGTGAGGGTGGGCTTGGCCCGTAACACTAGCCAGGGGCACTACACACAGGTGTGGGTTTCTAGAACGAGCCCCAGGTCCACAGCTCACTAGTCCGTGCACTGGCGGGCTGAGAGCGGTGTGGGCAGGCCCCACCCGCAGCCCTCCCCTCTCCCAAGCAAGTGGCTGGAGGCAAAGGGCCAGGCAGGCCTGAGCACTCTTTATTCTGCAGAGGGACAATGACCACAGATCCATACACCATGTGGAGACCGGGGAGCCAGGGACCAGTCTGTCAGGGGTGGGCAGGTCCAGGCAGGGGGCAGAGCCTCAGGTGGGTGAGGGGCAGACAGGCAGGGGCCTAAAAAAAAGACAAACCACACAGAGTAGGGGTGCTGGGGGCTGCGGTCCACCCTCCCCCCTCCCAGCAGCACCCAGAGGGGCAGAGTAGGCTGGTGTCCCCTAGCTAGAGGGCCACATCCCTGCCCAGCCCACCAGGGGCAGCTCACTTCAGGAGCTCCCTGGGCAGAACCTGACTGGGCCCCCCACTCCCAGGCCAACCCCCCCTACTGCTGGCTCAGAAGCCGAAGGTTTCCTGGGAGGCGTAGACCATGTAGAGGAAGCCGTCCTCATCCTTCTCCTGCTCGTAGATGTCCGCGATGGGCGTGGACACGCTCACCATGCTGTGCTGGTTCACCAGCAGGAAGAAGGCCTGCGTGGGGTTCAGCTGCAGGCGGCGCCTGAGGCGGGCAGTGGGGCACGGGGCAGTGAGGAGCTGGGTGGGCCGGGCCCTGAGCCCCGAGCCCCGAGCCCCGAGCCCCTCCCCAGAGTGACTCTGAGCCTCTTCCACACCCATCCCTTTCCCTTTCACAGGCTCTCACCTCTGACCCGACTGACTTCAGCCCTGACCTTGACCTTTCCCAGCCTCCCCTGAACAGGGGCCCACCGCCACCGGTCCCATAACCCTTGACCCCATACCCGGCCCCCCCACTACCCCGACTCGACTCAAACCCCCCTCTGGCGGCTGCTGCCCACACACCGGATGATCTTGACCAACTCGCTCATGTTGACATGGTCCGGGACCAGGAACTTGGTCTTGTCCAGGACCGGCAGCTGCTTCTCACCCTTGTAGCGCTCGATGATCACCTGGGAGGAGTGGGGCGGGCAAGGGTCGGGTCGGGGACGCGTGAGCTCGGGGTGGGGCCTGGGCAGGGTGGGGCCAGGGAACTCACCGGGATCTTGCTGGGGTGCTGGTCGCGGATCTGCTGCACCTCCTTACAGCGGTCGGCTGCGAACGCGGTCGGTCGGGCTGTGAGGCCGGGCCAGGCCCAGGTCCTCTCCGCGGCTCCGCCCCGCCTGTCCCCGAGGGGCGGCCCCGGCCCCGCCCCAGCCCCCGCCCCCGGGGCCGTCAGGCCCCACAGCCCCTGGCACCTAACGTGGTGGGGAGGCGGGCGGCCCCCGCCCAGGCCCGAGCCGGCCTCCCAGCCCGGGGTCCGGCCCGAGCCTGACGTCACGGGACTGACGTCACCTGCGGCAGTCGGGGTCGGTCGGCCTCCCGGAGCCCCCGGCCCCGCGCTCGCGGATCGCCCGCCGGGCCTCACCGAAGCTCCGCCGCTGCTTGAAAGGCCGGTCCGAGGGCATCGCGCGGGCCCGGCGGGGCGCGCAGGCCGGGGCTCTGGGGCGCGCCTGAGGATGTGGCTGCGGTTCGGGGGTTTCAGGGGCTCGCGCCTCACGCTCAAGGGCTCCGGGGCTCGCGCTGAGCCCGGCGGCGGCGGCTGCGGGAGGTAACTCGCCCGGTGACGTCAGGTCACAACATTCCTTAAAGGGGAGGCCGGCGCGCCGCTCCCATTGGGCCGACGCAAAACCGGCCCGCCCGGACCCGTGACGTCACGGCGCAGAGAGCTTGGATTCTCGGTTCGGGACGCGGAGGGGCGGGGCCCAGGGCGCGTCACAGTCCCGTGACGTCACGGCCTGCACGGCACCTCTCCCGGAGGCCCGGACTGCGGTGAGACTGGGAGGACCGCCTGGAAGGGCATTGAGCCCAGGGCCTCTGCGCCTTCACGGGGCGAGGGCTAGAGGACTGAAAGCAAGGCGCTAGAAAGGAACAGCCAGGCTTTAAACAGAATTCTAGAATTGAAAAACAGAATATCGAAATTCAAATCTCAAAGGATGAGGTAAGAAAGCAGATTAAGACACAGCAGAAGAGAAAATCACGGAACTGGAGGATAGATCAGCAATTAACCAGAGAGACAGGGGATAAGGAATGTAAGAAGAAGTGACAATGATAACGTGAGAAAGAACTCACAGGCCCAGAGTTCCAGGAGCAGAAAGAATGTGGAGAGGCAGTTCCTGAAGGAGAGCTTCCTAAATTGATTAAAGACCAGGATCCTCACTTAAAATCCACGGCAGGATAAATAAAATAAAATCAACACCTAGACACTTTGTAGTGAATTTGCAGAACTCCAAAGAATAAAAGATCTTAAAAGCTACCAAAGGAGGATGGATTAACTAAAAATATTACACCAAAAATAGCTTTCTCAGCAGCAAATATAGAAGCCAGAATAAATGTAATTTTTTAAACCGCTGAAAGAAAAATACCATCAACCAGTTGGCTGTGACTTAAGAGTTAGGGAGAAATAAAGATATGTTACAACGGAGAGTTTACACAAAAGACCACTGGTGAACCATTGGTGAAACCATGTTTAAAGGATGTACTTCAGTAACAAGGACTGGTGATCCAAAAGGAAGGAATTAGATTGGAAAAACGGTGAGCAAACTGGTAAACACGTAAGTAAATCTAAACAGGTACTTCATATGGAACATGAACAGTAATGATTAATTTGTAGGGTACAAAAACAAGATGAATTCAACACAAGAACATGTAAGACTAGAGGGGGCCAGCAGAGTTAAAGTGTTCTAGGAAGTTCAGTTTGTTTGAAAGGAGGATAAAGATATTGATCATTGCCCAGCTTTGTAAAGTCAGGTACTTATCTCAGGTGTTTAAGAGGCATCACCAAAAGAATAGAAATGGAAATATAACTGCCAATGCAGAGAAGAGAAAAGGGAAGTGAAAGGCACCAAAAACATAATAGAAAGCAGAAGGGGAGGGGAAAAAAAAGCAAAGTAAAAAAGATGGTAAATAAATAGCACAAAACCAAAGGTAGAAAATGTGTTTTACATCCACCCATTGAAACAGATTATCAGGCCAAGAAAAATAAAATGCAGCTCTATACCGTTTACAAGAGGACATTTAAAACCTACGGGCACCCAAAGTAAAAACCTGGAAAAAGGTATACTAGAGAAAACATAACCAAAAGATGGACCTGTAGAAAAATCAGACAAAATAGGTTTTAAGGCAGAAGGCAGGCCAGGTGCAATGGCTCGCACCTGTAATCCCAGCACCTTGAGAGGTGGGGATGGAAAGATCACTTGAGCCCAGGAGTTTGTGGTTAGGTGAGGTTACAGTTGGGCCACTGCATTACAGCCTGGGTGACAGAGCAAGACCCCATCTCTTTAAAAAAAAAAAAGGCAGAAGGCATTATTAGGGATAGAGGATAATTCTTTAAGAAGAGATAGCAGTTCTGAACGTGTATGTTCTGGGTTTTACCAAAAAACGCTGAAAATATATGAAGGAAAAATGACAGTATATAAGGAGAAATTGCCAAGTCATCTACCTTTCATCATAGTGGGAGATTTAAGACCTCTTTTACTAACTTACAGACCAAACAGCCAAAAAAAATAAGGATATAGAAGATTTTATACAATTAATAATTCTGATCAGTAGACCCCAATAGAATCCTGAACCCAACACCTTACTTTCAAGCACACAAGGAACATTTACAACAAATGACCCAACTATTAGGACACAAGACAGCTCAACAGATATCAAATGTCAATTTCACACAGACCATATTCTTTGACCACAGACAAGAGCCAAGTAAGCTCCAAATGTTTGGAAATTTATAAATAACTCTTTACTCAAAGATGAAATCATATAGAAATGAAAAGTCTTTAGGTCAAACCAAAAATGAGGATATATATAAAAACTTGGGGGAGGGGTAGCTAAAGCAGCATTTAGAAGATTTACAGCCTTATTAGCTAAGAAGAAATGTAGAAATGCATGAGCAGAGTGTCAAATTTAAAAAGGAGTAACAGTATAAACGCAAAGAAAGTGAAAGGAGGCTGGGCGCGGTGGCTCATGCCTGTAATCCTAGCTCTCTGGGAGGCCAAGGCCGGTGGATTGTTTGAGCTCAGGAGTTCGAAACCAGCCTGAGCAAGAGCGAGACCCCGTCTCTACTAAAATTAGAAAGAAATTAATTGGACAACTA